TATATCATTTCCTTACAAATTTAAAATATAATACGTTTTCATTTAAACATTATATAAGCTTTTTAAATTTATAGTAATTGATCACATTTTTGATACAAATGTATAAACGTGGTTATAACTACATAAAACACCGTAAAAAAATTAATTATCGTTGGCTGCTTGCAAGTGTTATTGCCACACGAAAAAAAAAGTTACAATATCTAATATCTAACATTGACATTGACGGAAGACCGGCAAAATTTTAAAAAGTTTTAAAAGGTTATGGGATTTCGGAGTGGCGGAGGTCGAAATGGTACCTTTAATTTTATTTTTCCTAACAATTCGGAGTCAGTCACTTTTCCATTTATTATTCCATGCAGAAAATTTAAGTCAGCTATTTTTCGTCTTTTGCTAAGTGTGTCTAACTTATAATGTTTTAATCTGACCATGTAAGGAGCTCTTCGCCCAACTTCATGCTTCCAGGATAGATGTCGAGTAAAAGATCTTTGAATGGACTCTATACGTTGCGAGTGATTCGAGTAGTGAGGATTCCAAGTGACACTAGAAAATTCTAAGACACTTCTTACGAGACTTTTGTACAAAAGGATACTGGTTGTTACTCTCTTAAACTGTTTTGTATTTCTTTTTATGAACCCCACCATCTTAGCGGCTTTAGTAGTTATATTATCGACATGAGATATGAAATTTAAATTCCCGTCAAGCACTATTCCCAAATCACGAATCGTTGATACTTCTTTTAATTTTATGTTATTAATTGCGTAAGCTGAATCAAAGAACTGTTTTTTACGTGTAAATTTAATATGAAAGCATTTAGATGGATTAAGACACATGTTGTTATTTCGACACCATACTGATATTGCATTGAGATCATTTTGTAAACTATTTTTATTCCTTAATATCGCTTACCTCTCCAAATAACTTCAAATCATCGGCATAAACAGAGCAGTGACTGTAACGCATAAAATTAACAATGTCGTTGATAAATACAAGAAAGAGCTTGGGACCTAATATCGAACCCTGAGGCACACCGGAGAGAGAATAATAGGTATGAGACGTAAATCCATTTACCACTACATTTTGTGATCTACCCCTAATATACGAGTCAAACCACCTGTGCAATGAACCCTCTACACCATACAGATACAATTTCTGAAGCAGAATGCTATGATCGACTTTATCAAAGGCGCTTGAGAAATCGGTATATACAACATCAACCTGAGATCCTTTATCTACCCTTTCACAAACAAAATCTAAAAAAGAGACTAAATTAGTGGAAACTGATCTACCCCTCATAAATCCATGTTGTTTTGCTGTAATATGTTGGTCTATATGACTACTCAAAAAAATGCATACTAAAGATTCAAAAACCTTTGCGAAACAAGACAATATCGAAACCGGTCTATAGTTACCAATATTAGACTTATCACCTTTTTTATACACCGGGACTATCTTAGCTTTTTTCCAATCTTCTGGAAAAGTACCACTACTCAAGGACAAATTAAAGAGGATAGTAAGCGGTGCAGACAGTTCACTGGCACAGGTTTTAACGAAAATATGCGGGATCCCATCAGGCCCGGGACCCTTTGAAGAATCAAGATGTTTTAATTTATCCAGTACTTTTTCCTCCTCAAGTATTAGATTGCTCAATGGAAACAAAATTGAAGCTCTATCAAAGTTACATCCCATGTCTACGCTAGCTTCTACTTCGGAATTGTTAAAAACTGAGGAAAAATGATTCGCAAACAAATTGCTTATTTCTTGAACGCCTGTACCTGACACATTATCTAAATTCATAACATCTGGATATAACATCTACTTTTGTTGTGACTTTTTAATTTAATATAGTTATAAAATTTGCTGCTATCTGAAGCTATGTTATTCTCAATATTTTCCACATAATCATTATAACATTTAACATACAACCTATGACAACGTTTTCGAAGAATAGAGAATTCAATTTGATCTCGAGGATTCCTGTATTTACGATACCTAGCTCTGATCTTTTCTTTTTCCTGAATCAATTTAATGAGTGGTTGACTAAACCATTGTGGATGCTTATTCTTTGTTAAGTTTGTAGTTTTACGCACTGGTACATGTAGTTGTATGATTTCATTGATTCTTTTATAAAATATAGAAATAGCCTCGTTGATATTAACCGTTTTAAGCATATTTTGCCAATCAGTTGAAGCAAGTTCTATTTTAATTTTGTCAAATTGGGCTTTAAAGAAGTTATGACCTGCTCTCTGTTTATATGGAAGGCTATTCTGTAACTGACTAGGGATTGATATCAGTAAGTTAGGATGATAATTATCAATTTTCGACAGCGCATCCAAGGGTGCCGAGACAGAAAGGATATCTAAAGTAGAGAGAACCAAATCTAAAATTTTATTAGTCGAATTAACAATATGGTTAAATTGTAATAGATTACTCATATTTAAAAAATCTATAAATGTATTGTTCAGAGTCGAATTTGTGTAAAAAGGCGTAGTATAATTTACATTCTCCCCTAGGGAAAAAATTGAGCTCATATTAAAATCTCTTGCAATAATAACCTCATCGACCCCCCGCATTACCGCCTCCACTGCATGTAAAAAGGCATTGAGATGGTCAAGTTTCAATGGTGGTGGCAAATAAACTGCACATAGTCCAAGCATTACATTACTACTGCCTACAGTGATATCAACGCTTATCCATAAATCTTCACAATTAGATTCAGAACAAGGCATCTTAGCCGATTTGATACTGTCCTTAACCGCGATCATTACTCCGCCACCTTCCTTTTTACCACTATTTAATGAATCACTACGATCCCTTCTGTACACTACATAACGACCGTCCACCAGCTCTGCATCCCTTATGGAGGAATTAAGCCAGGTTTCTGTGAAAATGATTACATCATAATTATTTTGCAAAATGCTATTATAAATACTAGTAGTCTTTGTTCTCATCCCCCTAATATTTTGGTAATATAAATTGAATTTTAAGTAAAAACATTAACACTATTACACAAAAATCTAAACAAAATAAAAACAGTAAGAAAAAAATATCCTAAAAAAACTAAAAAAATAAAAATTATAAAGACTGTAGCTTAGCTAAATTATTAATAAGGATTGCCTGGCTTTCTTCGTCCTTTCGTACGTAGATGTGTCCATTGCGGACCCAAGTAAATTTATAGTTTTTTGAGTTTAGCTGCCTTTCTTGTTTCCGAGTGGAGTGATTTGTTTTCGGGGCTCAAGTGTTCGGATACAAATACTGCTTTTTTTTCGCCTCCAAGTCCTAGATTATGAGAGTTTAGTTTGTCCTGTTTGTTTGATTTATTGTATTTGGTCACAGCCGCCAACAAAGCATCGCGTCGAAAAGTCGTGTTTAATTTTACAATAATAGCGCGGGGTTCTCTTGACTCTCTATTCATTCTTGCCACTCTTTTACAAAACAACACATCATTTTGCCCAATAGGATTGTTGACTACTTTGGCCAGTTGATTTATAATTATCGGTAAAGACTCATTTTTGTTTTCAGGTATCCCATTTATTTCTAAATTTGTTTCACGTAAATATTGCTCCATCATTCTTATCTTTGTTGTTAACTGTGTTATTGTCGTCTGTAGCACTTCTTTTTCCTCTATCAATAATTTAATCTTCTCGAGACTTTTATTCACAGACTCCTTTATTGTGTCATATTGCTGACTGATAAAGTTCATACCATCTCCAATCTCGTCAAGCTTTTTATTAGTGGAATCGAATTCCTGTCTCAACAAACCACGAAGTTCTTCAATTATAATTCTTCTTATCTCTGACTTCAAGTTGTCATCCAAATGTGATTCTTTTGAATCCTTGGAACTATTTCCTGATTGTGCGGCTGACTTAGTTTTACCCATTTTATGTAATAACCTTTCTCTTTGTATAAAAAAAAAAAAAGAAAAGTAAACAGTATCTTTATATCTAACTTATAGCACAGCAGAAAATGCCTCCGTTCAATTTATTTACCGACGACGACGGAATGTACAGTACAATCTTTACACAAATAAATGCCCCTACGATGCAACTCACAAGCCACGATGCCACTTCATGCAATTTTCCACGGCCAAAAGGTCGTAAGCGCCATGCAACTCGCGTCGTTTATGCGTTTTGCCCGATGAGTCCGTTGATAATAAGGATTATACTAAGGAGGGTAACTTTTTTACTGAGTTATCACTGTTTAATTAAAAATCACATCCAATAATAGCAACCACTAACACCTTTTCAAAATAGATATTATAAAACTTATTGTAAACACCATTTAAACTTAATAAGCAATTATTAAACAGGATTAACGAATTAAATTGTACTCGAGAATTAGACATGTGTCACTCGCACGGTAGTCGCGATACTATCTTCCTTCATGAAAAGCCACAAGGAACTGGCCTTGGGAAGGTGTTCCCGATCAAAAGAAGGACGCATTCTAACGAAGAGCTTGTGGGCACAGAGCACTGAAATTCTTAACAATATTTCGCTAGACTGCCAAGTTAGATCGCCGGAGAGCTGGAGAGTAGTGAGTATTAACTTTATATAACAAATTTGCTCTAACTACTGGCCCCCCCTACCAATATATTTCTTCATAAGAAGGCAATATAAGGGTTTATAATACTGAAAAAGAATTATATATAATAAAAGTAATATATATATTAAGTTAGGGTAACATAAAGTAGTCCACCACATTATCAGGGTTGGCAAATATCAGACAACTTGACATAGTAAACTCATAGTTAAGCAGATTTCCTTCTAATTCTAATGTTTGCTTACACTGTTAAGGCAAGCAGTAACTAAATTATAACTTTGAGATAAAAGTAACAGAGGCAAACTTAAGACTTCTTAGTACTGTTATTTGTTATTCTGTACTAATTCAATAATGGAGAATAACTCTAGATAATCTTCTCACTAAGCTTTGTTGCTTGAACTATTAAAATTTCCTTACTTCATTTGATTAATTCTATAAGCTAATATTTATTTTGTTATTTCCAGTTTTATAATGAATACAAGTCTAAGCTCCTCAGGAGGGTAAAAAAACAAAAGGCCGAAATTCAGGCTACAGGTAATGACCTTTCTTAAATTATTCTTATTTATTAAAATCAGTTACTAAGGTTAATATGCAGAACTTTTTATATTTTGTTTGTTTAAGATTAACTGCATTGTTTTCAGGAGGTGGCCCCGCAGCTAACATCACCTTGACACCATTACAGGAGCGACTGTATGATATTATTGGTAGAGATGTTGGGGAACCTCTAGAAGGTGTCCGTCACAATCCCCTATTTGTGAGTTTAATATATCTTATTTTTTATTGTGCTATGTGTAACTTTTGCCCTTTTTTAAATGTTTTAATTAATAACACAAAATATAAGTACTGCCACATTGTAGATACCAATATCTACAATTTGGCATTACATATATTTTTTATTTGCATGTTTTGTTTTCTTATTGAATAGAGCCTAGAAGATAATGCTGGTGTTGGGGTGCATGAAATACCCTTTTCAGTGTGAGTTGTCATGATATTTTTATTTCTTCATTTTATTACTAACAGACTCTGGAAGCAGATTACCTACATACAAGCTCAAATGCCTGACTTGCCCTACTAACATGCCCAGATTTTATATATTCAAATACAAGAGACAAATAATATTATTAATAGCCATAATACACAAAATAAAGAACTTGATAGAACAAACAGAATTGCAAGATGTTCCACAAGCTGTCCCAGTTCCAAAAGTATCTGATAGGGTTGCTCTATTTTGAAACCCTGGCAGTATGCATTGTTTAACTAATATGTGTAAACTAAATAATGCATAGCGGCGGTGGCTAATATTATCATTTTTATGAAAATTAAAATTATAATATCAAGAATGTTAACTTTATTACAGACATAACACACAGGCCCAAGCAGTGTCCTTTGAGGTGACTCCTTCTTTGGAGTCAGCAAGCTCTGCAATATTCGCTAGTGCTGTGGAGCCAGTAATCTCCATAGTGGACTCAGCTAACTCTACAGTACAAGCAAGTCATGTGGAACTCATTGGCACTGTGGAGCCTACTCCTCGTCCATACAGCGGCTCTACACATCGGCGACGTCGTGGACGTCGAAGTTTGGAGGGATCTCAACCCCGAAGTGGTAATTTTACTTTTATTTAACTGTATATGTTCACAATACCTTTTCATATGGACAGAATCATGTAACGTAAATATATATTTGCCCTGCAGCACATGAACCAACAAGACGTTTAGAGGAGGCACAACGCAGGTTAGCAGAAATGGAAAGCGAAAGGACAATGGCTTTTACGGCTGCTTTGGACCGTCTGGCTACTACCATTGGTCAGCCGTTGGATCGTCTGGCCACTGTCATTAGCCAACTTTTGCAAGTATACCATAGAAACAGCAGTGGTTCCCCGCCTCTGGTAGGCTTATTCCTTCAAGTAGAATCTTAAGCATCAACACATAATTTATATTTTTTTAACAAGTTATTTTATGTTCCTTTCAGAGAAAAAGGGCCAGGATTATTATCCCTTCAGAATCTGACTCCGATTAAATTAAAAGTAGGTAACAAAAACACTTATGGCAGTAGTAAATGTTTTTAATTTTAATAAAATATCTTTCTGCCCACAATTTGTTCACAAGTGCCTGCTGCATGGCCCGGCCTTCCAGCAGGTCACGATTAACCCGACCACCTATCGTTACTACGGTCTCAGCCTCTGCTCTCAAATCTTCTTGAACCTAAAATTAATGAAACAACAGGGATTAGGTATTAAAACAAAATTAAAAACTTAGGTTTAAATTGAGACCCAATCAATGAATTTGAAACTTTACCTGATATTGACGCAAATTCTCCGCTACAACTTCCTCAGGCAGTAAAGGCAGGACAGGATTTTTGGCGCGGTTCGCAATGTTGTGCAGAACACAGCAGGCGTTCACTATTTGCCCTGCAGTCTTTGGAGCATAATGAAGTGCTTGAGCAGCAAGCAAACACCTAAAAATAAATATTGATAATTATACTGAGTATTAACATTTTCTTTCATTTTCAGAATTTTTCTACATCTAATCAAGACTGATTAATCCAATCAAGACATTAATCCAATCAAGACTGAATAATAGCTTTACGTTAAATAAAAAAATATTTATCTAGCACTATGTTGTTTTACTATTCCAACTGATGGCATACAAAAAATAAGATATTTAGTTCATTGGCCTGTGACATGAGAAACATGTAATTCATTTGGTAGGGTTAATTCCATCTTTACCTGAACCGTGCTTTCAACACCCCAATACAACGCTCAACAGTATTGCGCGCAGTTACATGCAAATTGTAATAATATTGCTGTGGAGTTCCCTCAGTGGTGTTTAAAATTGGTGTCATCATCCATTTGCGCAAGGGGTATCCACTGTCACCTAAAATAAAGTAATTTTAACAATTTGTATTAAATTCCTTATTTTATTAATAACTAATAGCAGCTGTTTTTTTTAAAATTTGCTGTTATGTAAAGTTTTTTATCAGTCAATTATTACTGATAAAAAACTAAAATATACAAATGGTTTCTAGACATTGTACATTTTATTCCAAGATTTCATCTTCATCATCATCAACAGCCTTGAATAGTCCACTGCTGGACATAGGCCTCTCCTGAGAGAGGAGGTTTTGGCCTACATACTCACCTAATAAAAATGAACCATCTCCACCGGGACCAGCTAAACTAATTAAGTGCTGGCTGAGTGGATTACTCTGCCACACACTGGAGTCATGGGCTGCACCAGGGATACTGGCATCGACACACATGATTTGAAGATCAGAGTCGCATACCTGTAAATTATTGATAGCATTAAGCAAACTGAAAAATGACTGACTGATAAATAAACTGGTGCAAATAAATACTTACAATCATAACATTTAATGAATGGTACCCTTTTCGGTTAAAATATCGTTCTTCATGTACGTGAGGTCTCAAAATAGCCACATGTGTGCCATCAATGCATCCAAGAACCCCGGGGATTTTAAATTTATGATAGAATCTAAAAAGCAAATAATGCTGTTAATTACCGACAAATTAATACCGACTACGTGTAGATCCATACCTTATGCATGGTGGAGTCTGTATAATGTACACCATTACACAGACTCCACCATGCATAAGTTTTATAAAATACTAGCTGTTCTCTGTCATGCTTCGCTGTGATACATTGTGGTTGCAAAAAAAGATGACCAAAATCTTTGAAGAAGGTTGTATATCGTGTCAAAATATGAGCTCTATCAGTGCAGAACTTTTTGAGTTTTTGAAGCATACACAAACCAACTTAACATTTATATTTATATATTATATTTATGATATTGATAAGGGGCAAGCCTTCACTTTCTCATGTTTTATAGAGGTCATTGATAATCCTTCAATGATAAATACATTAATAAAAGGCATCTAGGTATGAACTTACTTGGCTTTTATGTCATTCCTGTCTTGCTGTTCCAATGGGAATCTCACATATTTGTAATAAATGGTAGGATCATTCAAAGCTTTGGTCACTTGTCCCACAGCCCTTGAAACGGTGACTTGTGATACATTGTGAAATGCACTTTGCCCTACCAAACTTTGATATGACCCTGTAGCATAGAATGACAGGGCTATCAGAAGCTGAAATACAAAATAGGTATCAGGAAACTATAAGGCGAAAGTAACTGAAGCATACATTTTATTTACAACAATACCATTTGTTTTCATTTTATTAACCTTACCTTCATTATTACAGAAATTCCATCCTTTCTCTGCTCAAGTGGAATAATTCTGCTGACATCCTCTGCAAGTTGCTTTACAAGGCTTTTACTAATTCTAAACGTTTTGACGAACTCGTCATCGGATATCATTGTTAACACGTTAAAACTTCGCAATAAAGTACGAGCTCGGCGGCGTTTTGTAGCCTCTTCTCTTCGGTCTTCGTTATAAGAAGCTTCTAAAAATTGCCACCGTAAATATGATATTGGAAGCATATTTATTTTTAAACACGGAACACGTTTCACAGTAAAATTATAATTTAATGTTATGTCTACTTGTTGACAGTGTCAGATCAATGGCAGTTAAGTGACAAATAGTCATCCTGAAGCCATCGTGACGTCATTGAAACTACTGTCAATATGAGCAGAATACCGTATCAGAATCAGAATCAGAATCATTTATTTGTAAACATAGGTCAAATTACAATAGAGTGTGAGATGTTATGGATAGGCAAGTCCTCTATGTTTTGCCCAGGGGCGTACAAATATACACATTTTTACACATTTTACACATTTTCAAATATACACTTTTTCAAATATCATAAATTTGTAGGATTATTTAAACTTCCACATTATTAATAACGTCAATGATAATAATTAATAATCACATGCATGTCAAAATAAATACAAAATACAGTCAATTTTAATAAATGTCAAACAAATTAATTTAATGTCAATTCAAAATCATTAGGATAGTCGAGGTATTGTACAATTTTCTGAAGCAGTAATTATAGAATTGTCGTCCAAATAGTCCTTTAGTGAGTAATAACACTTACTTATCAAGATTTTTAATACTTCTCTTTTAAAATTGGCCAGAGTTAGCGTTTTAATTTTTTCAGGTAATTTGTTGAATATTTTGGTAGCCATACAGAAGGTACTTTTATTCATTAGTGCAGTTTTGCCATATGTCACTTGGAGTTCCGACTTATTTTTGTCTCGTAGTTTTCTGTAGTAACTTTGTCAAACTATTACAGAGACATCGACAACATTTGTATCAGTGACAAGTCATCGGGAGGCCATTGGTCTTGTTACAGTTAGCAGATTACGAAAAGTGCCAAACTATTCCGACGACACTCCATCGACACCCTATTGATACAATATTAAAATAGCGGAATTGGGGCCCTGGTCTTTTTCATATAACACTACTGTTCATTCGGACAGTAAATACACTCCTTACGAATTAGTGTTTGGACACGTATGCAGGTTACCCAATAATTGAAGTAGTGACGTCGAACCACTGTACAATTTTGAAGATTATGTATTAGAGTTTAAATACAGGTTGCAAAAAGCTCAAAAGGATGGGCAAAATAATTTAATTTTAAGTAAACATAATAGAAAAAATATATACGATAAGTCGATTAATCCAATTAAATATAAACCAGAGGATAGTTTGTTGTTAAAAAATGAGACTGGAAATAAATTGAACACCTTGTGCACAGGACCATATATTGTTATAAAAGACCTTGAACCTAATGTTTTAATTGATTATAATGGAAAACATGTTTAAGTACATAAGAATAGAACTAAATTATATAAGGAACCATAGTTTAAGTTGGATTTCAAAAAAACTTTGTAATGTTTTTTTTAATCAATTAAGGGGGGTGGTGTAGTGTGTAAGTACCTTTATAATATCTGCATCAGCAATTCCTTACTAATGTAATAATTATAACAAATTATAACATACTTTTGTGGCATTCAATAAACGTAGGTAAACCGAAGTGGTTGTCTAATTTATCCAAACCCCAACATTACACGAGGAACAGGGCAGCGCTCTATACGTCTTTGTGAGACAGGTAAGTGAGGAACACCGTTATACACAAATATCTTTCTAACAGATAGGACATCTGCCAGTTCATACACGGAAGACGTGGGATGTCGGTAAGGTAGGTATAGAAGCACCTTAAGCACCATACGCTTGGCTATGACCAGAGTCACAAAAGCTACCGTATCAACTTAAAAATGGCACTTAGGTACTTGAAGCACATACAAAATAACAATATTTCGTAATAAAGGATCATATCACAAGATTCGCTGAGACCAAATAGACTTAGAACTATAACAATTCAAATCGAGATCAATGTTCGTAACCTAAGGTTACAAAAATAAAAAAACGAACGTTAA